CTGGGAACTTGAGGCCAGTCAGTGCTACAAAGTGAGTTCAAGGACAGCCTGAACTGCATAGTGGGATCCTGTCTCATATAAACAATCCAACAAAAATCAAAAACAAACTGCATTCTTTTTATACTTAAAATTGAAGAATAAAAATCAAACTAATTTATATTAATCTTTGAGAAGAAAGGATAGGCAGCCAGACATATCCAGTTCTTTCATTTTGCTTAGAGGCATTAACTTTTAAATATGATCCAACCTGGAAAGAGAAGTGAATCTGCAAAGATGGTAACAGATGAAACACAGTATGTTTTGGGAGAATTTAAATGAGGGAAAAATATTGTGACATAAATAGTGCACCTGAAAAACAAAGTCTAACATGACTTTTATAAAGCAGGTGTTAAAGACTTGTGTGGTATAGAATGACAACTGGAAATTTTATGGTAAAGTTGGTGTACATTATCATTTAAGGTAAGTAAAATGCAATCATTAATAATTTTATTTTACACACAGGTATGATCACAATGTAACAGCTTGGTCAGAAGCATGGATGTGCTATTTAACTAGTTAGTTTTCATGACTAAAATTTTCTCTATAAGAAATATTTCAGCCCTTCCCAAATTATCCTTTCCAGATTACTAAAAATTCTTTTTCTTAGGGACAACACAATGGCACTGTCAGATATTTTATCATGGCCACTTATTCCTGTTTCCAATGTAGGTTTTCTATATTTTTAACTCTGGCTTGAGAGAGTTATTCCACACAAAAAAAGTCTTCAGACTCACTTTCCTTTTAGTTTACAACCTAAGAATTCAAATTTTCAGGAGGGATATGTGGTTCAAGCTAGAGACTTGCCTTGAGGATATTTTTTCTCCATTAAAGTAAGAAAAATTATAAAACTTCTTTCATGGTTTCTGCTTTAGGCCTGAGGTTCTTTTTGATCCTGGGAAGAATATATGATAATTTTCATAGTTGCTTCAAATTTTGACACTCCCATTTTACACATAAAGGAACTGAATTGAAAATGAATAAATTATTTAAATATACACTGGTTTTTAATTATAAATGTTTTGTTGAAAGTTACATAAAAAGTCACTAAATTTATTCTTATCATTGAGATAAAAGGGTATCTGTCAGAGGTTGAAGATTATATAAAGGTTCCAAGATAATTATGTTCAAAACATTTGCCATGTATTGAAAAAGTTTATTTAATATACTTAATTAATGAATATGTTTAATATGCTTAATTAATATGTTTAATTCACATTAGTGAATTATTTATATGAAGTATTTTTTTTCTTTTGAGAATCAATATTTTACAATCACTCCATATCAAGTGAGTATTCTTCCAAACCACAGCTAATAAAATTATATTTCCCAATTACATAAAAGGTTCAAAGTCTATATCTTAATTTGCTTATCTTGCTTTAGTATTTTACATTTAAATACCGTTATATTTTCCTCAAAATACCATGTTTCTTTCATGAACCCTGTATATCATAGGCAAAAACTTTTGTTTGCAGAAATTTGGATGAATAATTATGATCTGATTAAAATGTAAAGTCTTCAGAGATTCTGTTAATCACACTCCTGTTAATTTTCTGTTTGTGCAAGTGAGTGAAATGTCTTTCATCATCCTATAACTGGGTAGCAATGCATTTTCCCTGTGTGTAAAATGTACAAATTTAGAAGACAGGTCACATTTAGTGCCACATCATGGTCACCAAAATAATTACTTGGCAGTTTCCCTTTAGGATTCTTCTGTATAAAATTGCATAGATTCCCCGAGCCCAGCCGCGCCTAGCCATCAGCGTGCAGAGGAGGAGTTGGGTGGATCCGGAGTGCCTGCAGAAGCCCCTTCCTTTGTCTGGAGGACTGAATACTTCTGCAAGCAGGGAGGGATCGCAGGTTCCTGAGGCACCTCGGCCTGTGGTGAGTGCCCAGCACAGTCTACCCAAATCTCAGACTGTTCCGGACCCCCCAGGCTTCTGGGTGCAGTGAAGTGGAGCAGTGGGTTAGAGGCAACTACAGCCGCCTCCCCATCCCGGCTACACCTGGAGGTCTGCGGAGCTCACGATGGGTGGGCGGGCCTACACTATCCCCCGAGCTCAGCCACGCCTAGCCATTGGCGTGCAGAGGAGGAGCTGGGCGGATCCGGAGTGCCTGCAGAAGCCCCTTCCTTTGTCTGGAGGACTGTGGATATCTCTGCAAGCAGGGAGGGATCACAGGCTCCTGAGGCACTGCGGCCTGTGGTGAGTACCCTAATCCGGCTGTGATTGAAGAGCTGTGGATCTCCCAAGGGGCAGGTGGGCGCACAGTGTCCCTGAGGCCCAGCTTGTCTGGAACTGCAGAGTTCTGAAAAAGCAGAGGAGGGCCATTGGTTCTGCAGGCCCAATGGCTTGGGGTAGACTGGTGCCAGAGTCTCAGTAGCTGCAAACATACAAGGGGATTTTCAACAGATCCTGAGGAAGCTTTCAAATAACACTTGAAACACGGAAATATAGGAAAATGACAAAACGAAAGACCAAATTACAACCTCAAACCTCCAGCCCATCTCAGGAAACCCTAGGAGGAATGTATTTAGAAGAAAATATATCCCATCCTCCTCATATATCAGATACAATAGCTACTGAAGTTGACAAGCAACTCCAGGAAGCCTTAAAGAAATTCAAACTTGAAATAATATCCCAGATAAAAGAAGAAATGATTAAAGAAATGAAAGAGATTCTAAATATATCTAAAGAAAACACAGATAAAAAATTGGAGGAACTAAACAAAAAGATAGAATCCCTAGATGAGCAATATAAGAAACAAACAGAATACATAATGCAGATGCACAGAGATATACAAGAAATAAAAAACTCCACTGAAAGTTGTAAAAACCGCCTTAATAAAAGTGAAGATAGAATTTCAGACCTTGAAGACAGGATCGCAGCTACTGAACAGGAAAGGAAAGATCTTTCAAAAATAACAAGGAATCAGGAAACAACAATTCAACAACTGCAAGATGATGCAAAGAAGAATAACATAAGAATGATAGGGATTAATGAAAAAGAAGGAGACAACATAAAGGATATCAAGAGGATATTCAGAGAAGTAATAGCTGAAAATTTCCCAAGTATGAGATCAGAAACTGACATCAGGATCAGTGAAGCATATAGAACACCAAATAGTCATAACCAAAATAAAACTACACCCAGACATATAATAATCACCATCTCAGAAATCCAACACAAGAATAGATTATTAAAAGCAGTCAGAGAGAAAAGACAGATCACTTATAAAGGAAAACCTATCAGAATCACAGCAGACTTCTCATCACAAACAATAAAGTCAAGAAGAGCATGGAGTGAAGTATTCCAGATTCTAAAGCAAAATGATTTCCAACCTAGACTGATATATCCTGCAAAACTATCATTTAAAATACATGGTGAAATACGATACTTCCATGACAAAGAACAGCTGAAGAACTTCATGAACACCAAACCAACCCTGCAAAAAATATTGAAAGACAGTTTAGATACACAAAGGAGAAAACCACTAAGCAAAGCAAATAATTAAACAGAACAGAAAGATAAAGATGCAACAGCAGAGAGATAAGATTCCTACAATTAACCAACATTTAACAGTAATAACCATTAATGTAAATGGTCTCAATGCACCAACGAAAAGAAACAGACTAGCAGAATGGATCAAGAAACAAAATCCAACCATCTGCTGTTTACAGGAAACCCATCTAACCCAGAAGGATACTCACAGACTGAAAGTCAAAGGATGCAAAACAATTCTTCATGCAGCAGGAATCAAAAAAAAGGCAGGAGTAGCCATTCTGTTTGCAGACAACGTGAACTTTAAACCAACAATGACCATAAAGGATAAAGAAGGTCACTACATACTCGTAAGGGGAAAACTGCAAGAGGAAGAGATAACTATCTTAAATATATACGCACCAAACTCCAGAGCAACCAGTTATATAAAACAATTATTAACAGAAATGAAAACTCAAATTATCAGTAACACAATTGTAACAGGAGACCTTAATACGCCATTGACACCAAGGGACAGATCAACCAGACAGAAAATGAGCACAGAAATAACAGAACTGAATCATACCTGTGAACAAATGGGTTTGATAGACATATACAGAATGTTCCACCCAACAACATCAGAATACACATTCTTCTCAGCAGTACATGGATCATTTTCTAAAATAGACCATATATTAGCTCACAGAACATATTTAAACAAGTGCAAAAGAGCTGAAATCATCCCTTGCATGTTATCGGATCATAGCGCTCTGAAATTAGAAATTAACGATAAAAGATACTGCAAAAATCCCACAAACACATGGAAACTGAATAACACACTCTTGAGTAATCAGTGGGTCACAGAAGAAATTAAAGAAGAAATCAAACAATACCTAAAAGAAAATGAAAATGCAGATACAACTTACCGGAATCTGTGGGATGCAATGAAAGCCATCCTGAGAGGAAAATTTATTGCACTGAGTTCCCACATCAGGAAAACAGAATGAATACAAATAAATAACTTGATGCTACAACTCAAACAGCTAGAAAAAGAAGAGCAAGTCAAGCCCAAAGCCAAAAGAAGAGAGGAAATTATAAAAATCAGAGCAGAAATGAATGCAATACATACTAGGAAAACAATCCAAAGGATCAACAAATCAAAGAGTTGGTTCTTTCAAAGAATAAATAAAATCGATAAGCCCCTAGCCAACCTTATTAAAAAAAGGGAAGAAAAAGCTCAAATTCATGCAATAAGAAATGAAAAAGGAGAAATCACTATAGACCCAATAGAAATACAGAAGATCATCAACACCTATTTCGAAAACCTCTACTCTCAAAAGTTTGATAACACAGAAGAAATAGACAGATTCTTAGAAGCATATGAAGTGCCAAAGCTAGATCAAGAGGGTGTAAAACTGTTGAATAACCCAATCTCTGTTACTGAAATTGAAAATGTAATTAAGTCCTTACCCACCAAGAAGAGCCCAGGCCCAGATGGATTCACTGCAGAATTCTACAAGAAATACAAAGGAGACCTAATGCTGACACCCCTCAAACTATTCAATGAAATTGAAAAGGAAGCAATCCTTTGTGGGGGATGAGGTGTCACTTTGTAGGCCCCAACCCTCTAACCTGCAATATACAATAGCCCCTGGTATGCGAGACAGAGGTAGGACAGGAATGCCTGTTCTCAGTGAGATCTCTCACCCTCTGGAAACCATACTGTGAGCTGGCTTTGTTTTGCAGAAGTCTTGAGGAAGTGGCTGGCCACCCTTTGTGACACTAACAGCAGACAAATTAACAACATTCTTGAGCTAATGAATTTCTTCCTGGGCTAGAGAAGTTAGGAGAACTGTTTGTGATTATTTACTTCACTTAGATAGTTTAGAATAAACATTGTAGTCTGTCACATTGTAGCTTGTCACAAAGAATGCCTTTTCACTACTTAATTGTCTGGGCTCTGTGAACTGATCCGGTTTACTATATATGAATCTTAAAATAAAGATTGTGCGTGCAGTGCAGTGCAATGCGGTGCAGGCAGTAAAAGTGCCGTGTCTCTCCTGTCTTCCTTTCCGAGCGCTGCACCCCCCGTGTCCCGATCAGGCGTGTTTGCGTGTTTGCCTTTCCCGGAGTTCAGAGTACCCTAGATACTCACGACAAGTGGCGCCTGAATTCAGGGACTCTGAAGGTTGCTTAGGAAGGTAAGTATAATTTTATTACGGGGATATGGGACAATCGGCTTCCTCTCCTTTCTTAAAAATTCTTAAACATTTATTATCTATATATGGCATATCACTCAGGTCAGCTGACTTGGATATGTGTATTGATACAATTAAAGAATACAATCCTTGGTTTCCAGATGAAGGAACTTTGGATGTAGAAGTATGGAGGAAGGCAAGGGTTAGTATAGAAAGGGCTATGCAACAGGAGGAGAAGATTCCTTTACGTTTTTGGGCTATTTGGTAGGTTGTGTACTCTTTATTAAAAGCTATGGAAGATGAACATATTGTAGAAAATCTTCAACTAGAAATTAAACCAGTTATTCAGGAATTGCCCCTCACAGAGGAGGAGCAGAATGTAGTTCAAAATGACGCTATCGCTTTAAGTAGTGAAAAGGCGTCCAAACCGAAAGTAAAATCTGCTGCAGCTGACTCAGCTTTAGCTGCCACAGCTACATCAAATTGTGACAATCGCCCAATTTTACAGGCTATACAGCATTTAACACAAGAGGTAAAACAGCTCTCTGTTAAACAGAACCTACCTATACCTCCCTCTGCACCTCCTCATCTAACCCTAATTGGAGTAAAGCCAAACTAGCTTTGGCTGATCTACCAAAATTAGGGGATTCTGACGAGGAAACGTCTGCCTTTGCTTTCCCTGTAATCAGGCCGCAGCCAGTAGATGGAGCGGCAGTTCCCCCTAGATGGGAAGCATTTAATATGGATGATTTAGCAAAATTAAAAAAAGCTGTAACCCTTTATGGCCCTCAGGCTCATTACACTAGAGAATTAATAATGTCGGTAGCAGATCAGTATGGTAATCTTGCTCCTTATGATTGGAAAGCCTTGGCCAAAATTCTTTTAAAAGAGCCAGAATATTTACAGTGGCACATGTGGTTTATGGAAGGTTGTGCGGAAAAGGCAAGGCAAAATGCTGACGATCGAGATCCTAATATTAGACTCATTTCTTATCCCATGCTCTCTGGTACAGGTTTCTTTGATACTGTTGAGCATCAGGCAGGGGCTCCAAAAGAGATTCATGCTCAATTAAAAAATATTGCTTTAGAAGCTTGGGATAAAATATGGCCTAAAGGATCAGAATATGGATCTTGGGCTAAAGTTCTGCAAGGAACCAATGAACCGCATGTTGAGATTATTGCAAGACTTCAAAATGTTATAGAAAGAACAGTAGTGGGACAAGACTTACAACAACATCTCTTAAAACTTTTAGCTTTTGAACATGCTAATGATGAATGCAAAAGGGTTTTAATTCCAATAAAAGATACTGCAACGATTGACAGTTTTATAAAACAATGTAAAGATTTAAATTCAGAATCTAAGAAAGTGCAACTGTTTGCTGAAACCATGGCAACCACGTGGACTAATTTACAGTCTAAAAAGGAACAGTCTTTAAAATGTTTTAATTGTGGTCAGACAGGACATGTAAAGAGGGCCTGTCCAAAACTTTTAGGCAATGATCAAAGAAAGAAATCTAAGGCCCCTGGCTTATGTCCAAAGTGCTGGAAGGGAAATCATTGGGCTCGTGAATGCAGAAGTAAACAAGTTAATTCAGCTGAACAGAAGGGAAACGGGAGAGCGGGCCTTACCCCGGGCCCGGACAAATCAATGGGGTAAACCTACCATATTCTCCCTACAACCAGCCACCCAACACAGTGCCGCAGTGGATATACCAGCCTTAAAAGATATAAAATTAATAGGAGGACAATCCCCTGTGGGAATTCCTACAGGAATTTTTGGTCCCTTGCCTGCAGGAACTTTTGGCTTGCTCATGGGTCGGTCTAGTTTAAATCAGAAAGGCATTACTGTTCATTTAGGAATTATTGATGCAGATTATACTGGAGAAATTCAAATTTTGATGTCCTCACTTACAGATTACAAATTATTAAAGGGAGAACGTATAGCTCAACTCATTTTACTGCCTTATATCCCAATAGGATCCTCTGTTGTTCAGCGAACAGGAGGGTTCGGCAGCACTAACCCTATTAATGTAATGTGGACAGCTAAATTATCTCAACAACAACCTCTTATTAATATTTTTATTGAGCATAAGAAAATTCAGGCTCTTATAGATACGGGCTTGGATATTACTATTGTTAAACCTACTGATTGGCCTTCTCATATTACTTATACTATTATTCCATGTAATATAAAAGGAGTAAGTAAAACTCCAGTAAATACAATTGGACAAGCCACAATGCATATACGTATAAAAAATGAAGAGGGTCAAGTTGCTGTTATTAAACCTTATATCTTAGATGTGCCAGTTTCTATTTTAGGAAGAGATATATTAGAACAATGGGGAGCTCATATACATTTTTAATATTTTACATGTTTCTGCAGCTTAGGAAAATGAATCCTTTAAAGCTTAATTGGAAAAATGATGACCCTATAACTTTGATAGAAGAAGATATAAACAATATAGTTATCCCTTTAACTAAGGAATAATGGGAATATTTGTTGTCAATTACTGAAACCTTATAAATTGCTTTAGCAGATTTCATGGGAACTTTTTCGTATCATTTTCCTAAAAGTAAATTATGGGATTTTTTTAGATGTCAACAATTTGTGGTTAATATTTTATTAGCTGTACAGCCAATTCCACAAGCTTTGACTATATTTACAGATGGGTCTAAAAATAAAGCTGCATATTGGACTCAAAAATCTTATTGGGTACGTCAGACAAATTTTAATTCTGTGTAACAAAATGAACTTTTTGCTATATTGCAAGTGTTTTTAGATTTTCCTGACCAACCTATTAATATTATAGCTGATTCAGCCTATTCTGTTGGAGTAGTGACAAATATCTATTCAGCTGTGTTATATTCTAATAAGCCTGCCTTATTGTCTTTATTTCAGAATTTACAAATACATGTTCAAAAAAGAAATCATTCTTATTTTATTACTCATTTACGTTCTCATTCTCAGTTACCTGGACCATTAGTATCAGGTAACAATACAGTGGATTCCTTAGTTATGTTCACTACACCTGTTGAAGAACATCAATTTAATCATGCGAATGCAGGACATTTGCATCTTAAATATAAGATACCTTTTACAGAAGCTAAACAGATTGTAAAAGCCTGCCCTATTTGTAGACCATTACATTTAAGAATTATTCCCGCAGGTGTCAACCCTCGAGGAACTCAACCTAATGAGTTATGGCAAATGGATATTACACATGTACCTTCTTTTGGTCGGCTTTCTTATGTACATGTAGTTATTGATACCTATTCTTCATTTTTATGGGCTACTGCTCAACAGGGAGAATCCACTAAAAATGTTATTGTACATTTATTGAAGACTTTTGCAGTTATGGGAATTCCTTCTAAAATCAAAACAGATAATGGACCTGCTTAAACTAGCAGAACATTTAAACAATTTTGTGATCTCCATAATATTATTCATATTACAGGGATTGAATATAACCCCCAGGGTCAAGCTATTGTTGAAAGAGCACATGGCGCTCTTAAGTTACAAATTAAAAAATTAAAAAGGAGGAGTCAGGAGGATATTCAGATACCAATTCTGTTTAAATTGCAAAACAGTCCAAAAACATTGCTGCATCAAGCATTGTTTATTTTAAATTTTCTCAATTTACCACAAGGTGAAATATTAACAAGAGCTGAAAGACATTTCGAACAGCAACAACAGCCATATGTAATTAATGAACCTATTTGGACTAAAACAGCCCCAGAGGCTGAATGGGAGAAGGGCACACTGCTCTATAAGGGGAAAGGTTTTGGTTATATCTCCACAGAACATGGAATTCGGCAGTGGGTCCCTGGACGATGGATCAGGATCCGCGCCTCCAGACTCTGTTCGCCAGTCCCGGAGACAACTCCCCCAGGAACCGTATCTTCAGAAGCGAGCGCGAAACCAGCTAGAGGCTGAGGATGCTGAGCTTGTTCCTGTCGCAGCCATGGCCAGATTACAGCTAAGAAATTCCCGCCGCTCACAGCTACTAAATTTAAATCCCCTCCCTACATGGGGACAAATAAAGAAATTGACCATAGAAGGGCAACGGCTTGTCCTTCAAGCAGGGAAGCCTTTAAACCCTGAAAACTTGTTTTTAGCTCTATGTACATTGCTCACCGTTGCATCGGGGACTGAGGTACCCCAACATTCTTATTGGGCCTATATTTCAAATCCCCCTTTATTGGAACCTGTAAAATGGGGAACTAGTGATATTTTACTTTATACTACACCTAGAGAAATTTTGTCAGCACTGTGGGCTGATTTAACCCCCCACAATCAAGGTGATGGGACATTATTCAATTTTACTTACTATGGTAATCAAAGGCCTATTTGCATTGGAGAACCGCCTTGCATCCCTCTGGGATGGCAGTATTGGATTCAACATGGAATAAAAGCAGGCAGCAAAAGGACAAGGCTTCAAGCCTTGGCTGCTCAAACCTTTATAATGTGACCTGGAAAAATTTAACAGCGCCTGATAAAGATACATTTCCTATATGCCCTAATTTCACTTATAAGAATATTTCTTATTATCCCATAATTTGGCAACAGTGTATGGGAAAATTTGCTAAAAATATTGATGGATATATTATTTGGGGACCATTTGGAAAATTCGTTAATGGATGTGCTGAATGGAATGAGACAAGATGTAATCTCTCTGTTGTGTATAGTCTTCCAGATCCAAAGAAAATAACTGATGGAGTTCCTGTCTTCCCTCAGAAGACACCTCTTTTGTGGTGGGGAGATGGTGGAATCACTAACCCTGCTGTTGCAGCCGAAGAATACCCTCATCACCTCCAAAATCATATTTGGAAGATTCCAGCTGCTATGCAACCTGTAACATTGTACAATGTTTCCTATTCAGGGACTAGTCGATCTGTATCTACTACTTATAATTTTACTAGGTTTAAAATGTATAATATTACTGTTTGTGCACCTCTGTCTTATGTCTTTTTAGTGGGAACTTTTAATTTTACACATTTTTCTTGTACTTGTTTAAATTGTCAATTGTTTACCTGTTTAAATAGCACATTGATTTTCACTAAGCCTTATACAGTTATGCTGTTACAACAAAAAACTCATATTTGGTTGCCTGTAAATTTAACTTGACCATGGTCTCAAGACCCAGTAATTTCTGTTACTACTGAATTTTTTCAACATCTGTTAAAACGTACAAAAAGATTCATTGGAATAGTGGTGGCTGTACTGTTAAGTCTGATATCTGTAGCCTCCCTAGCAGCAGTCTCAAGAATAGCTTTACAAACCTCTTTGCAAGAAAAACATGTTGTAGAATTATGGCATGAAAATTCTCATGAACTTTGGTTGACTCAGTGGCAAATAAATGCCAAACTACAGCAGCAAATAGACCTTCTTAAACAAACAGTTGAATGGATGGGTAGAAAAATATTGGCTCTTCAGCATCAAGTATTTTTAAAATGTGACTGGAATTCAACTACTTTCTGTATAACCCAACGACCTTATAATCAAACAGAACATGAATGGGAAGTGATTAAAATGTGTCTAAATGGAAACACCTCTGCCCAGGAGGAAATAGAATCTTTGCATAATCAAATTGACAAGGATTTTGCAAAGCACAATGATGATGAATCCCTGGCACAATTCGCGCAATTGCTTGCTCAATCTTTGAAAGGATTAGATTCCAAAGGAATCTGGCAGAGCATAACCCACACTTTAAGCGGCATAGGACTTAGTTTAATTATAGTTCTCACTGCCATAGTTCGTGTGTATTTTTACTGCATAAGACGAAATACTATTAATAACCTGAACTTATGGAAATTGTTGTTAAAAAATAAAAAGGAAGGAAGTGTGGGGGATGAGGTGTCACTTTGTAGGCCCCAACCCTCTAACCTGCAATATACAATAGCCCCTGGTATGCGAGACAGAGGTAGGACAGGAATGCCTGTTCTCAGTGAGATCTCTCACCCTCTGGAAACCATACTGTGAGCTGGCTTTGTTTTGCAGAAGTCTTGAGGAAGTGGCTGGCCACCCTTTGTGACACTAACAGCAGACAAATTAACAACATTCTTGAGCTAATGAATTTCTTCCTGGGCTAGAGAAGTTAGGAGAACTGTTTGTGATTATTTACTTCACTTAGATAGTTTAGAATAAACATTGTAGTCTGTCACATTGTAGCTTGTCACAAAGAATGCCTTTTCACTACTTAATTGTCTGGGCTCTGTGAACTGATCCGGTTTACTATATATGAATCTTAAAATAAAGATTGTGCGTGCAGTGCAGTGCAATGCGGTGCAGGCAGTAAAAGTGCCGTGTCTCTCCTGTCTTCCTTTCCGAGCGCTGCACCCCCCGTGTCCCGATCAGGCGTGTTTGCGTGTTTGCCTTTCCCGGAGTTCAGAGTACCCTAGATACTCACGACAATCCTTCCTAAGTCATTCCTGGAAGCAAATATTACTCTAGTACCAAAACCTGAAAAAGACCCAACTAAAAAAGAGAACTATAGACCGATCTCCCTAATGAACACAGATGCAAAAATCCTCAATAAAATATTGGCAAATAGGATCCAGCAAATCATCAAGAAGATTATACACCATGACCAAGTGGGATTCATCCCAGGAATGCAGGAATGGTTCAACATACGCAAATCAATAAATGTAATCCACCATATCAATAAAGCCAAAAATAAGAATCACATGATCATTTCTATAGATGCAGAAAAAGCCTTCGATAAGGTCCAACATTTATTCATGATAAAAACTCTACAGAAAATTGGAATAGATGGTCTTTACCTCAATATAATAAAGGCCATTTATGACAAACCAACAGCCAGCATCATACTAAATGGCCAAAAATTGAAAGCCTTTACTTTAAAATCAGGCACAAGACAAGGATGTCCTTTATCACCACTCCTATTTAATATAGTACTGGAAGTACTAGCCAGAGCAATTAGGCAAGAAAGAGAAATAAAAGGGGTAAAGATAGGAAAAGAAGAAGTTAAGTTGTCATTGTTTGCAGATGACATGATACTCTACATAGAAGACCCCTTAAGCTCCATTGAAAGACTCTTAGATACAATAAATAAATTCAGTAATGTGGCTGGATACAAAATCAATACTCAGAAATCAATAGCATTCCTATACACAAACAACAAAATCACAGAGAGGGAAATAAGAGATACTGGACTATTCACATTAGCAAGCAAAAAAATGAAATATTTAGGAATTACTCTTACGAAAGAAGTGAAAGACTTATACAGTGAAAACTATAATACACTGAAAAAGGAAATTGAAGATGATCTCAGAAAATGGAAAGACATCCCTTGCTCATGGATAGGAAGAACAAACATTGTGAAGATGGCCATTCTCCCAAAACTCTTATACAGATTCAATGCAATCCCAATAGAAATACCATCAACATACCTTATAGATCTAGAGAAATCACTCCTAAATTTCATCTGGAACCAGAAGAGACCTAGAATCGCAAAGGCAATTCTAAACAGCAAAGACAAAGCAGGAGGCATCACAATCCCTGACTTGAAATTATATTACAAAGCAACAGTAGTAAAATCAACATGGTATTGGAATCAAAACAGAGCTGAAGATCAATGGAATAGATTAGAAGATACAACCACAACTACAAACATACTCAACCACCTTATCTTTGATAAAGGAGCCAAGCAGTTTCACTGGAAGAATGACAGTCTCTTTAATAAATGGTGCTGGAAAAACTGGCTCTCCATTTGCCGTAAACTAAAGCTAGACCCATGCCTATCACCATGTACTAAATTAAAATCTAAATGGGTCAAAGATCTGAATATTAAAACAGAAACACTAAATCTATTGGAAGACAAATTGGGTAGAAACCTTGGAGACATAGGAGTAGGTAGAGAATTCATGAACGGGACTCAAACTGCACGGGAAATACTTCCCAGAATCAATAACTGGGACCACTTCTTATTAAAAAGTTTCTGCATGTCAAAAGAAATCTCCAGCATAGTGAAAAGAAAACCCACAAACTGAGAAAAGATTTTAGTGAACTCTCTCTCAGACAAGGGACTCTTGTCTAAAACATATAAAGAATTAAAAAAACTCAGACCTCCAAAATTCAAAGATCCAATCCAAAAATGGGCATCTGAGATGAATACACAATTCTCAGATGAAGAAATGCAAATGGCAAATAAATACATGAAAAAATGCTCATCATCATTGGTCATTAGAGAAATGCAAATTAAAACTGCACTGAGATATCATCTCACTCCTGAAAGAATGGCCAGGATTAAGAAAACCAACAACAACAAATGCTGGAGAGGCTGTGGGGAAAAAGGAACTCTCCTGCACTGTTGGTGGGAGTGTAGACTGGTACAGCTTTTGTGGAGGTCTGTCTGGAGGTTTCTCAAAAAGTTGGGATTGGAAATCCCATTTATTCCAGCTATTCTACTTCTAGGCATATTCCCAGAAGAACTGAAAGCATCATACCACAGGGTTATATGTGCACCTATGTTTATAGCAGCACAATTTGTAATCGCCAGATCTTGGAAACAACCCAAGTGTCCATCAACTGAGGAATGGATAAAAAAGTGGTGGTATTTCTATGCAATGGAGTATTATTCAGCTATAAAGAAGGATCACATTGAGATATTTATCAATAAATGGGTGCAGCTTGAGACCAAACTCATAAGTGAAATAAATCAATCTCGCATGTATGAATACCGAATAGTTTCCCTAATGTAAGTAATGATTCAAATATATAAAAATATGTGGTAATCATGATTCCCCATTATGTGGCCTTGAAGCCTTATAAAATTTTCACTTATTAATTAGAAAGGCTTTATTCTGGGCTTCTTGATATGGAAATATTTGAAGCTATAGTATATGAAGTTTTATCCAAATATTTCAAGGAAAAAGACAGACACTATGGTAACTACTATTCTTTAAAAAAATTATTTAGTTATTTCTTATGTTTATTTTAATTAAGGGAAAAATTTAAAAAATTAGGATATATAATAGTAACTCTTTTCGATTTCCTATTAACTTGTTTTGAAGTCCTGTAATACTCCCACAATCTTGTTTTGACTGATTAGACTCTGTTCCATTCTGTGCGATGGTAGCAAGTCTGAGGGTATAGGCAACCAATTTGAAGGCAATAAGATTCACAAAGATGCCCATTCTGGTTTGACTATTGTCTCCTTTGGAAGTCCGGTAATGTTTACAATGCCTAAGTTTTATTGGTCTTGTTCTCTACTGTTCTGTCCAACTTTATAATATCTGATGAGATAGACAATTCTTTTTAAGAAAACAAGAGACAACGTTGATAACCATTGTTAATAACCTTGTACTCTGTTCTACATCATGTGCTATGTCTATCCTTGGTTTTGACTGACAGCTTTGTTTTGCCATATTTGACTCTATTCTCTCCCCCCCCAAAAAAGTAATAAGAACTAAGGAGTAATAAAATCCAAAATGTGTAAATTATATTGTAAAAAAGAGAGGGAGAAAAAAAAAAGAGCTCTAACGGATATAACAGCAAGTGTGTTTAGGGGTGTTAAATAGCTGACTATATTAATGTTTTTGGATCATTGAACACAGCTGTTTTCAGTCTCTCTGTTTGAATGTCCACTTTGTATTCTTTGATACTGTGATTTGAGCAACTATTTCCAAGATGATAATATGTAATCTATTAACAGGTGATTTCTTACTGTTATGTTTTTTTTTTTGTAGTTCTGTATTATGTGTAACCTTACACTGCTTTGTTTTGTTTTGTGTTTTTCTCTTTTTCCTCTTAAATAAAAAAAATTGCATAGATTTATGTGTTTTCAATCTAAATAACATTTAGGTTTAAAATGTGACTTACTGCTTTTTGAACAGCTCCAGATTCAGATCTGTAAATGGTGAAATCTAGCTTTATAGATCATTATTTTTCTATGTTTGAGAAGTAGTAAGTACCAGTCAGCCTAATTCATTTTGTTAGTCCTTGATCCAGTACAGAATCTCTACCAAAAAAATTCTATGATATATTTTCTATATTAATAAATTTAGAACAGTTGAATATTGTCACCAAATAAATACAAATCTAAGAGTTTAAGTTCATATCTACAAATAATAGTTTCAACTATGCAGCAAGTTACAGTAAACAGTCACAACCAAATGTATCTGACATACATAGAAGTAAACACTTACATCATTCTTGAAAACTGGGTATTTTTATAACCTTTTGCTATTGTTATCTTTGCATTACCATTACACAAAGGAGACTGGAGGTGAATCATTAGGACAGATTGCCCTGTTTCCTATAGAATGATATGAGCAAATTAAACTTCTGAGAGCTAAGTTCCTCTGAATTGTGTCAATAATCAAAGAGACATTTCTTAAATTCAGAATGTACTGATTTTTTACAGAACACTGATTGGAATGCTTTAGTCACTCACTAATTCCTGCCTCCCAGATGTTTTTCTGGAAAAACTCTAATTCTTATGCACCAAATAACAAATTTCAAAACTCTGAAAAACTATAGAATCACAGGGTACCATGGAATCACAGGGTACTATGTTAGTGTGTACATTTACATATTAAAATAAAGTGAAATGAAGGAAGTTATTCCTTAAGATGTATGTAGTTTTATCTTTGATGCAACAACATACTTTTCATTGATTTCTATTTCATCATATTATAAAATGCATTTAAATATTTTTGAATGGTGCACGTAATTAAACCTAGGACCTTGTACATGCTAGAAAAGTGCTCTAAAGTTGGTCTGTAAATCCATCCCTCAGATATATTTGTTCAAATTTTATTATAAATATTAATCTACTAGATTTCTTTGCATTTGACACTATAATTACCTCATACGCTACATTTTTACCTACACCTTTTGCTATGATGGCCTCATAATTTTCTGGAACAAACATCACTGTTGTTAAATTTATTAAATGGATATCATTGAAGAGGAAGAAATGAATATTAGGCTTACAGGAATATATAAGTCATTGACTAATGAAAAATATATGCAAAAAGAGAAAAAAGTTACTATAATCCAAAACAATGTAACTTGATTTAGTAAATTGTCTTAATCATTTATGATTTTTAGCCTACTACTTTGTTTTTTTATCCATATGTATGATAAGTAACTTTATAAAGACTCATGCTCTAAATATATGAATCTAATGCAGACCATAACAAAGGAGCAAGTGGAGAGGAAGGGGAAAAATAATTGAGATGTGTTAAGTAATATATATCAATTCCCACACTGAATGTGATCATTTTGTACTGCAAATATATAATAAAACTTTTTAAAGAAGAAAATAATTTTGATAATGATGTGACATTCACTTTGAACTTAACTTTGTAAACTAGAACAATACTTTACAGTAGCATATATGTTAAAATTGTATGTTTTG